TCCTCGACAAGACTGGCTGCTGCGTATATGCTGCACCCGGGCCGGAGGATCACGCTCGCGACGCGGTGCAAGGATCCGCATACGGAATCTACGATTGATGAAGTCCCCGTCGATGTTGTCGTGGATCGTCTGCTTGTGCACTGTGCGCTCGGCACGGCGGGGTGCGTGCACGCCGTCAGCGGCGAAAAGGGTCGACAGAGTGTCGAGGACTGGTGGCGAGCCCTGAATAAAGAGAGGCGGTTGCCGTGGAACTTGAAGCTGGTGTGGGACTCGGAGGACTGGCACTCTCCCGGCCTGCATCGCTCGGAGAGAATCTTCAAGATCTTTGGTGCGTCGTATGCTTTCTCGGAAGAGAAGACTGTGCAAGCGGTTCGGAAGCTTGGTGGGATTGATGAAAATGAAAAGACGCATCTGGTTCTGTTCAAGGATAGTTCTTCCGGGCCCTTTTCTTTGGCTTCGAGACGTGGGCATATCTATCCTGTTGCGGTGCAGATGGCAAAGAAGAAAAACTGGCCGGCTTGTTCGGTGAGGCTGCTTTGTCGGAAGGGGAAGACGGCCGCGGTGTAGTTGGTTGTTCTTACACGAGTTAGTAGTTTGTGGGGTACTGACCTTTTTTTTTTTTTTTTTTCCTTTTTTTGGTGGCGGAAAATACTGTTTCTGTTCATGTCTGACTAGCGCTTCCTATTCTTGATAGCAATGCGAAAGGGTTGGGTTTACTGTCTTATCGGCGTATAGGCTTATCCTGGTCTGATCCGTCATTTTGTCCGAACATGAGCAGCTATGGAATGCAGTGCAAGAAAAGGCGCGGTTTATTGGTACTATGCGAAGTCTCTATAAATCAAAGGTTGGGCCGTATGATCATTTGAAAGACCAGGGAACATGTTCCTCAATCCTCAAAGTGTGTCATATATATCTAGACAGTGAACGAGCCCTGCTCGCGAATATCCCTGCTCGAGCTGCCCACGTACACCTTGAAAGTGCCGCTGGGCACCACCCAGGACTTCTGGCTCACATTCCAGTAGGCGACGTCGCGACGGGTGAGCTCAAATGTGGCGTTTCCCTGCTGGCCAGGAGCGAGGGACAACTTCTGGAATCCTCTTAGCTGCTTGGGAGGCGTCCAGGGCGCGCTACTGGGAAGCCCGATATAGAGCTGGGCGACTTCGGCGCCGGTGACAGGGCCGCAGTTTGTGACGCTCACGGAAATGGAACCGATGCTAAGGAAGCTTTCCTGGTGACCTCCAGGGACAATGGGACCCGAAATGACGCCGGCTGTGGCATTGACTTGAATCTTGAGCTGGGAGTAAGTGAAGTTGGTGTATGCTAGAATTTTTGTGAACATCAGTGTCTTGTTCCTTTCACTTTTTCTTCTATTTATACGAATTGGGCTTGGAAGCGAAAGCCATCCAAAAAAAGAAGAAAATAAAATAAAAGAAAAAAGAAAAAGAAAAAGGAGAAATACTTACTCAATCCGTAGCCGAATTCGTAGCGAGGAGTGATGTAATTTTCATCAAAGTGGCGGTAATCAATGAAGAGACCTTCGGCAAAGTTGTCTTGCAGAGAGGTCGTCCAGTTGGTGCCGTAGTCACTAAACTGCTTGGCTATAGAATAAGGCAGCTTGCCGTTCGGGGAGGTAGAGCCGTACAAGACATCGACGAGCGCGTTACCGCTCTCCTGGCCGGGAATACCGGGCCAGACGATGGCTTTGACATTGGGTTGCGACAGAATGGTTTCCAGAATGACGGGGCCAACACTGTGGCAGACAACGATGACGTTCTTGTTTACCCCCGCCACAGCCTGAACGAGTTTGTTGCCATTGTGCCAGGGGTCGAGGTTGTTGCGGTCACCGGCGTTGCCTTCCACGGTGATGTAGCTGTTTAGCAGCCGGATTAGACCAGAAATCTATACGTCGACAGTGTTCAGCAACGGAACTTACCCTTCACCAGAGTCCGAGTTGATGAAGACAATGGCGGTATCGGCGGCAGCCGCAGCTGAAGCAGCGGGGGCAGCGTCGTCGGTAGTGCTGGTAACGATAGTAGTGCCATCAGCGACGGCCTGAGTATTTATGGCATCGAGAGGACCGACAAGATACTATTTCTGTTAGCTGGTGTCTCGCCACTCTTTCCAGATTCGGGGACCACCCACCGGGAACTGCGCGGTACCACTGCCCCAACCCATTGCTAAAGTGCCATTGTCACAGCCACGATCAACGCAAGCATTGGGTCCTGCTGGATTGACAATGGCGTCTGATCCTATAATCGCTAGACTCTTGGGCTTACGAAGAGGCAGAATATTGTTGTCGTTCTTCAGCAAAACAATCGAGTCGCGGGCCACCGCTCTCGCGACGTTCTTATGATCGGCCGTCACGTTCACCTTGGTCTGACCACCATTCCAGGAGCTGAATGCAACCGGAGGGTAGTTCTGATCCTGACCAGTCAAGTACCACGAGGCAAGGATACGGGTCGCCATGTCATCGAGCCGGGACTCGAGGACTTCCCCTTTAGCGATGGCTTCTGTGAGATTGGAGCCCCAGAAGACGCTACCAGGAGGGACGTCGAAGTCACTGCCAGGCATAGTCATGTCGAGGCCGGAGTTGGCGCTGTTGACCGTGGTGTGTTGCGCATTCCAATCGCTCATGATGTAGCCGCGGAACCCTAGCTCGGTCTTCATGATGCCGTTGAGCAGATCATCACTCTCACAGGCCCACTTCCCGTTGAACTTGTTGTACGAGCACATGGCCGAAGCCACGTTAGCCTTGACGGCGTTCACGAAGGGCCAGAGGTAGAGCTCGTGCAGAGTGCGGTCGTCAATGTTTGAACTGATGGTATTGCGATTGTACTCTTGCTCATTACCGATGATGTGCTGGATGGGAAAATGATCAGCTCGTTGGGTCAACCAATCCAGGGGAAAACAATCAGCGGACCTTAGCGCAGGCTTGAACGCCGGAGCTTTGCATGCCCTGAATGGCCTCCTCCATGGCCACTCCACTGAGATAGGGGTCGTTCGAGAAACCCTCCCATATCCTTCCGCCGTCGGGGATCTTGCCTAGAGGCCCAGCAACGGGACCGAGCTGCACATTGACACCGAGGGCCTTGGCTTCGGCACCCATGGCGACACCACGAGCGTGAATAAGAGCTCGATCCCATGTCGCACCGGCGTTGATTCCGGCGGGGAAGGCAGTCACCGGGTGGGCGTAACGAATTCCCAAAGGAGAGTCTTGCAAACACAGAGAGGGATAGTCGATAGAGCTTGGCTGAAAGGTATTGCCGACACATGGGCCGTGCATCCATTCCACTCCCGTAACGATGCCGACTTTCTCAGTCTGGTTCAGCTTGCTGAGGGCGGCCCGAGCCTTGTCATAGGCGGTGTCCCATTCGGTCCCGCCCGAACTAGATGCCTGGGCAGTCGCGACAGCTGCCAGTAGGGTCAGAAAAGTTTGCTGCATGATGAGGGACACGTTCAATGCTCACCAATCTAGGTCGTTTCTTCGGGCGTGGGTGACTCTCATTATATGGGCATTCCAGGGCAGGGGGAAGCCCCTGGCCTGGTTGTCCTGTTCTTTAATTCCCCGTTGTGGATGAAGCATGGGCAACTTGGCTGTGGAATGAAGTTCAAAAGTCCCATAACAAAGATAGAGCGGGCTGGAACTGGCTATTTGACATTAATGTCTGTGCACTAGCCGACAATTTCACCCGCTGCGGCTCCAGCCAACCACAAACATTTCACATATTTGTGGGCGCGTTTGGGGGACGAGTTCTGGCCCGCCGTGTATGGTGGTAGATGGGTTCATGAAAATAATCTATAGGCACGATAGTAGTTTGGATGAATGTGGGGAGTATAGATTTCCAATAGTGCTCGATCCAATTAGGTTTAATGATGTACCATGGTAGGTTTCAAATTCTTGACATGGGGCTGAACTACATATACATATACACAGGATAATATCTGGCGTCCTAGCGGCTTGCTCTTTCCGTTTTAGTGCTCACTGCGTGCTTCCTGAGTAGAAGTGAGCACGATCCTGAGCGTCTGATCTGCTCCCGAAGCATGATATAATGCAACCCTTGTTGGACGTAGTGGTGCGCCTCCTAGAGGCACAATGCTGTAAATAACAGGAAGACATGAAGATGAATCATCATCTCTATCCATCCTGTTTAGGAAAGGTGCGTCAACTTTATGCCGGACGCGGGTTTTGAGACCAACCCGAACCCGACTCTCAAACCCGCGAGGGTCGGGTTGAGGATCCTGACCTTGGACCCGACCCGCAGGTTTTCCGAAGCCTACTCGAGAGAGATTTATAAGGAGCCTGATATGAAGCGCCTACTCCAATATGTGGTGTAAATCCCATCGCGGGAGTGGCTTCCGATTGTGCAGAATGGGTGGGCTGAGCATGTTGGGGGCCGTTGGGGGCCGCTTGGGCTTTCACAACGAAGCTCTTCAGCTGGCCCCATGGTTGGCCCTGTGGTTGCCAAGAGAGCGAGTGTTTGTTTATATAAACCAAGAACCCTTGATAGGCTGCAGTGTGAGAGACTGTTTTGAAGGCAATTTCAGCTGTCTTCAGCTCTGCTTAGCTCGATTGAGCAGCGCCACGCTTCAAAATCGCAACCCCCTTTCCTTCCCCAGCGGCGGCTTTCTCTCCTTCTCTCTTTCCTGTCCAACCTGTCGACGGGTACTTCGATATGCCATCATCCAATGGATTTCGCGGGAAACCATCCAAAAGTTGTGGCAACTGCCGTGCCATCAGGCGACGCGTGAGTATTTCCTTGTGTGGGCGAGGTCGGTATTAATATACGGTGTAGTGCGACCAACAGCGCCCCCACTGTGGGCAATGCATCCGGAGCCGCGATATCTGCGACGGATATCGAGATGAGTGGGAATTGGTCTTCCGTGACCAGACAAACCGAACTATCAAGCGATCCAAGAATATATATGCAAAGAAGGCGGCTTCGACCGAGGCTAACCACTCGCTTCCACCTGCCCGTGCCTTGGGCCCAAGTCTCGACGAAATGGGCGTAAATTATTTCCTCACAGATTTTGTCTGCGGTGGCCGTTCTCCATCACGCGGGTACCTAAACTATATCCCGACTGTCTATAGCGCCGATGCTGAGCACCAGACACTCAGCACTAGTATGGCGGCTGTCGGCCTCGTGGCGTTGGCAACTCACCAACCCGAACTCGTTGACCGCGCGCGTGCCAAATACTCAGAGGCGATCCGTCACGTGAATAATGCATTGGCATCGCCTGTTGAGGCTTTCAAGGATAGCACCTTAATGTCCGTGATCTCGTTAGGGGTCTTCGAGCACGTCTCAAACTACGAGTCGTGGGTCCGTCACGTCAAGGGCGCCGCAGCATTAGTGGTTGCTCGGGGCAAAGCTCAGTTTACTAGCCCGGCTGCAATCCTCATGTTCAACCAAGTACGCGCAGATATGTCGATCGCGTGCGTTCAGGGTATTCAGCCGTTTCCAGAGGATATGCGTGAGCTACAGGAAGAGGCAAGCAAGCACATAGACACCTCCAGTGCGTTCTGGCTCCTCGGGGTGCTAGCCACGCGATGTGCAACTCTTTTTGCCGATGTCGCCAAGAATAATCAGGATATCCCTGAATCTGCATTTACACCATGGTCACACTTCCTAAGAGAGGCGACTGCGCTTCAGGATGACTTTCAAGACGTGATTGCACTTCTCTCTACACAAGAACCGTATACAACCACACTGGAATCTAGTGGAGACAGAGATCCCATGATTTACAACGGCCGATATGACCTCTACGAGACATTTTGGGCAATAAGACTTTGGAACAACTCGCGAATCCTTGAAATTATTGTTTGCGAGATTGTATGCTGGCTCATAAACAAAATCCTTTCCACGGAATTGGCACAGCCAGCCCAGGATCGTCTAAACCTTATATTAAAGCTACAAGAGACCCTACAGATCATATCAAAGCGAGGACAGGATATACTAGCCAGTGTCCCGCAGGGCTTAGGGTATATATCGATATCCAAAAGCCAAAACTCTGTCGATGGCTCCCCCCAGGCCAGTGTGTCTGGTGGGTATATGCTGACCTGGTGTCTCTACACGGTCGGCAAATCTCCTGTCGTAAATCATGAAACACGGGAATGGATCATCAAACAGCTCCAAGGTATCAGCAAGAGCGCAGGTGTCGCAATGGCGCTGCAACTTTCTCAGGATATAGTTAAAATCGATCGGATGGCCAATTAAGGGGCGTTAACTCCCTACTCCGAAAAGTCTACATAGACCACCTCAGATATTGAATCATATAAACAACAAAGTAAATGAGCGCAGCTACCATCCATCCCTTCAACATAATTCTATTGCCTACTGGCCCGTAACATTAACTACCGCTTTAGAGGTGGAAGTGCAGGTTCTTTCAAGGCATCTCCGGCTTCGTCACCGCGCTCAGAATACCATCGCAGGACTGTATATGCTTCCACGAAGCCACTCCTTATGGTGTGCGCTTCCGTGAGCTCAGAAACATAGAAAAAAAAAATGCTGGCTCATACTCGCAATTTCTCCGTGATGTCTCTCACGCAGAAGTTGTCCGATAATTTGCGGGGTAAGCGATCTCGGTGACAAGACTTTGTTCATTAATGTAAAAGTGTGTAGCTAACTTGTAAAGCTCGCCATTCTGAGGAGGAAAAATGAGGCAAATGGAAAATTGAACCCTCGTACTAGATCTAATGAGATACCAGATACTAATTATAGTGGCAGAAAAATAGGATGAGAGACTGGTAATCGAACAGGTTCCACCGATTAACCTCAAGAAGCAAACTCTGAACTAATCGTAACAGGAGTAGGCACTACGCGTTCAAGTTTAGCCTCTGATTTCCGGATAAAACACAGGGGGGAAAGCTTACTCAGACGGTCCCTCCCAGCCAACACATTTCCAGCAGTCGAAGAAATGGGTAGGATCATACTTCTTCTTGATACGAAGCAGTTCAGGATAATTCGACCCGAAAAAGGTCTCCTGCCATTCCGGTTCCAAGTAATGACCTTCATTCAAATAGCATCCTCCACCAGGTGTCAAAACCTTCAGTGGATCGACGGTATCCAACCATACTTCGAGCAATTCAGTCTCATTTTTCACGCTAAGCTCCTGAGGCCATCCACCTGTCATGAGAACATGCCAGAGAGCCGTGCGCCAGGCAGGATTAGCACTTGTGGTATTGCCATTTTGGTGGTTCACAGGTGTGGTCATGATGACTTGGGTGACGGAACCTCCATCCGGGACCAGCTTATTGCTGAGGCGAACTCCTTGAAGAATGGCGTCGACCAAGTCGGTTACTTTGCCGTCGGTTTCAAATAATGTGTGCGGCATCAGGCGACCTGCAACAGCTTCAAAAATACCGCCCGGTGTGAACTGGGCAGCGATCCCATTGGTAATCTGTAGGAATTCGGTATATTTCGTATAGGTCGCGTAAGTGCTCTTGGAAACCCGAACGTCCGTTCGATTCACCAAATAGGAGGAAAACCCACTGGTCAGGGTTTTCAAAGCTGTTTCGTTGTTCGAAGGCAGGACCAGGTAAATTTCAGCTTTGTTCGGCCAGTAGTAAGCATGTCCTGAAACGTTGTTGTGTGACCAGATAGGTTGGTAGGTTGCGTGTTGCGTGAGAACCTGTTTCAATGCAGCGTAATTGGCAGTTTCGTTGCCATGTGTCGTGAAGCTGGCCTCGAACTGATACACGTTGATCTTGACCTCCGGATGGAGTTGGAAGCGATAGCTTGTCAAAATGCCGAAGGAACCTCCGCCTCCGCCTCGCATAGCCCAGAAGAGCTCGGGATCATTGCACTGATTGATTGTTCGCAATTGGCCGTCTGAAGTCACGACATCAAACTCGACCGCGTTATCCACCATCAGACCATACTTAGGACCAAAGACGCCGTGGCCACCCCCTTGACCAAAGCCGCCAGCCAAGCCAACCGATCCTTCGTTGCCACCAGTAACATCCATGTTGAACTTGGTGAAATAAGTATAGACGTCCCCCGCCTGAGCACCGGCTCCTATCTCTCCGATATGTTGACCGTTCGAAGCAGGACAATTGGATGCAGTAAAGTCTTCATGATACTTGATAGTGTTCATGTTGTGAGTCCAGATTGCAAGAGTGTTGGGACTAGTAGAGCGCCCAAAGTAGTCATGTCCTGTGTTCTTGATGGTGACTCGGAGGTTATGCTTTTGGGCGAATTTCACGGCGGTGACGACATGTTTCGCTTCATGAGCATCGACATATAGAGACGATAGTCGGCCAAGGGAGCAGTCATCGGAAAGGGTCTCAGACGAGTGCTCAGCATTCAGGGCACACGTTTGGGACCGGCATACTTCCCAATTTAGTCCTGTTGCTGCACCGTATACGTCAGTTCGCGCCTGGTTTGTTGTATAGTTCGCTCTGGCGACAGCACAGGCTGAAGGATCATAGTATTGAGAACTATAATAGCAGCTTGCGGCGTAGGGAATCGTGCGGTATAGGTTTCCGGATAAACTGCTATTGAAGCTCTCCCATTCTTTGTTCGATGGCCAACAAGATTGTCCAGCTTTACAGTTGTACCCCCGGGATGTCGCTGACGTGGTGGAGATAAGGCTGAGGACCGCCAGCGCAGATGCGGCATTCACCAAAGAGGCACTTGTTATTAGCACCATAGTTGAAAAATTGAGCTAGGAAATGAAAGAAGGAATTGTTGCAATCTCACGAGATGTTAGGTGACGGTTCGAAGTATTATTTATAGTTTCCCAGATAGTCCATTAGATGTTAACGGCCCCCAATGTTGATCTTTTCCTGTACGGGACAACCAGACATTACTACCAAAATTGGAGTCGCTTTACTTTGCACACCCCCTAGGCTACTGGGGCACCCTCTCCATACAAATTTGCACTAGCGTAGAACGTAGCGCACTTTTTGTTGAAGCACCTTTGTCGAGCCTGTCATCCTGTACGCACTACTAGTGCATTAGGTTTTGACCTAATAAAATACAACTATCTTAAATACTCCCATTTACACATGCTACAATAAAATAGTCTAGACATATGGAGCTCGTCCTATCTAGGCATGAGAGATGCAAGTCCAATCAACGCATGATCAGCAAGAAAGAGTCATTTCACTTACTGACGCTCTTGATCGACTATTCTAAAAGTCTATTGTCAGGGCCTACCGCTCGCTATCACGCTTGATAAATAGACGGAAGGTAGTTGAGGTATCCGCGTGAGGAGGTTTGGCCGCTGAAGACAAAGTGGCAGAGGAAATAGTTGACGCCTACGTCGTCTATGTTAGGGCCTAAGATGCGGATGAGGAGCGGCAATCCGTTGGGCAGTCTTGGCCCCTTTTTCCTTTAAACAATTAATCATCTTTTCTGTCGGGTCGCGGAAGACGAGAGTCCATTCATCTCGGTACCAGGGTTTTGGATTTGTCCTAATTAGGATCAAGATCTACGTACTGTGGTACTCTGGATAGGGCTGAATGGAGAGCTTTTGATTGGCTGAATATGGAATCACAACGCTAAGCTTATTTGGGAATATAAGGCGCACCACCAATCAACGCATGATTAGGCTCAAACACCACCGTTTAGGAACCTAAAAGGTGGCTCATGCTCGTTCAATATTTCTGTACTTTATTGACGGCCCCCAATGGTCCTGAGCTGCTACGTTCCTAATGAGTTCGGTGTTTGACAATAAATTTAGCAATAATTACTGTTTTAACATTAGTTATTGGTCTAGTCGTATAGATAATCCTTAGGATCCTTCTGGGATACATACCGTCCTTCGAACGTGTCGAGATGTTTTTGGAACCACTTTCTTGACTCTCAAAACTGCTTATTGCTGGATAGAACCTATCAATAACAAATCAAAAGAGTTGTAGAATACCCACGCGGTATTAGCTTTGCCACAATGCTTTTTTTTCCCCCAAGATTTGTGAATATTGTTTAGTCTACCCGCCCCCAAGCCGGGGTCGTAAACCGCGTCCCCAAGCCACCGAATGCGGTTTATTTTTTACACGGTTTCAATTTTCTCCACAACGCATCCACAATGGATGCTTACTTGGGGGCGATTTCCTCTAGGAGCTAAAAGGAGAGCGGTACGGACTAAAGTAGTTCGAAATCCGTGACGCTAGTCCTATCATGGCATAGGAGGCGTACCGCAGATACTAGTTCTATTATGGCATAGGAGGCGTACTGCGAATCAGCTCATGATCACAGTCTAACAACAAAGATGGTAACGACGACTATTTTTAGTCCAGCCCGTGTTGCAAAAGCCGCGACATATGTTCAGGGTTGGCACATAAAAGGAGGGCGACAGTCCTCTTTCTATATGATATACAAATTCATCTCTACCTTCACGCTCCCATACGCCTTTCACACTCCTATAACCCTTTCACACTGTCATACCTCACTTCAAACTGCTATACTACGAAACGACACAATGGGTGCCGTCAACTACCGAGATGGCATTGCCATCCTCCAGCTCATTCTCTATCCCGTGCTTCTTATTACTGCTGTCTTCATCTGGAGACGGGTTGGCTGGAGAGCTGGCGGAAAGTGCTGGCGATTTGTCGTCACACTCTCTCTCCTCCGGATTGCCGGCAGTATCTGTACTTTGTTGTCAATCAATAATGACTCTATGAACATCATTATCGCGGAGGATGTGTGCGCGTTAATTGGAATTGCACCCCTGCTACTGACCTATGTCGGCCTGATCGGGCAAATGTAAGTTAGCAAAAATGAACCCTTGAAATGTAAATTAACAAAAGGCGTCTTCCAGCGACGCGGAAACCCGAAAGATCAATCCCCGGCATCTCAAATTCCTATACCTCTTGGGTTTCCTTGGCCTCATCCTCGGTATCGTGGGAGTCAGCATCATGAAAGACAAAGGACCCTTCAGGGCAAACGGCGAAGTTAAGGCGGCTATGGGCATTTTCATCGCCCTGTTCGTTGTCATTACCTTGGCGACTGGTTGGCTAGCTTCCCAGCTTGGGTCCGCAATGAGCGTGTGGCAAAAGAAACTGCTCCTTGCCATCGGTCTTTCTTGGCCCTTCCTTTTGATCCGGCTGATCTACTCGGCCATGGGCGATTTCAGCACAGACACCCGTTTTACCGTTCTGTCGCCCAAGGCGAGCAATACTAACGTCACCATCTACTTGTGTATGTCTGTGCTGGAGGAGCTTGTCGCCATGGGCTTCTGTGTGATCTTCGGAATGTCGTCTGAGAATCAAAAAGAACGCAAGCTTGGTTCTGAGACGAACTTTGGCCTAGAAACTGCGAATGTATAGGACCGGGTTCCAAATTGAGTCCTGAGCTTATGTTTACATAACCGAGAGCCGGGAGCTATTGAGAAGAAAATAGAGAAGCCAGAACGGGTATGTAGGGGAGACTGCCAGAAGAATGGCGCTTCAAGATTTAAAAACGAGTTCATACTCATTGATCCCGCCTTGCAACAAGTAATTACTTAGTATGGTTGCGACGATGTCAAATTAGGTCCTACTAGAAAGTAATAAAACGGTGCATAGAGGTTCTCTACATAAAAGTGAAGTATCCGGTACAGATCCCGAGAATTCCTCCTGCAGTATATAGTGACAACCACAAAAGTCTACGTCTCTGTCAAAGTACCGTCATTTACCGCTCACAATAACAATATCTGAGAGGTAAAGCTACTAGTCGCTGGCAGAATAAGTTACGTTGTTCTTTTAAAGGGACTAGGACACCGACGTGTGTTCCTAGGAACCATCGGTTGCTCTCAGAGCCATATAACGTGTTCCTAAGGGAACTTTCCTAAGGGAACTTCAAGTATTCCTAGGAACTATCATTTTCTCAGGAAACTCTTAGATCCCCTAAGAGTTAATCTGTTTGACCCTAGAAGACGTTCTTAACCCTAGAATACACTATATTCTCTAGTGAACCGCTACTATAGCTAGAGGAAACAACTATAAGGGCTAGGAACCCCTGGCCACGAAAAGAAATTCTCGCAGCAGAGCCAGGGGCCTCTGGGGTAATACCAAACGCACGTGGTATGACTGACCAGAGAGAGTGTAGGGATAGTGGTGGTACTCGGCCAGTCGATTTCATCACTCGCTCCAAGTCACAATTCTGAGGGCAGTTGGTGAAACAGCAGTCTCTGCCCCTCTATTTTTCCACAATAACAAGAGAGCCTAGGACATAATACAGGCAACTGATTCGTCAAGAAGTCGCGGTGGGTCTGGTCCAAGAAGTGGAGTGCGCCTTACGCGACATGCACGCCCTTCCACTGGTTTGGTATCACGCAGAACTGTTGACCCCGCTCATCATTCCCCGTATAAGCCGCATCATTCTAGGATATGGCCAATCAGAGGGCCGTACCCTGCGATACGTCTTCGGTTGGATTTCAAAGTGGTGCTCTTTCGCATTGAGGGGTTGAAGTAATCAGGATATAAATATGTCCAGGTACCCAGAATCACTTCATTAACTATACAAGCAGTCATTTCAAATCCCCAATCCCCCTCCGTCTTTCCTTCAGATCAGTGAAGATGTGTATCCAACAGCCCACCAAAGTCTCCATACCAGACTCGCTCCAGCAAGTCACCCGTCACTGGGCTCCTAAGCGAGTGGCCTCGCTCAACGATGCGTACGACGTGAGAATTGTGAAGGTGGCCGGGGAGTTCGTTTGGCACAGCCATACCGACACAGACGAGCTCTTCTACATTCTGTCCGGGGACCTGACCATCCAACTACGTGAACCGGGCAATGACCAAACTAAGGATCTACAGGACATCCAACTTGGTGCTGGCGAGATGGTGGTCATCCCTAAAGGCGTACGACATCGACCAGTCACCAATGGCCAGGAGTGTGCTATTATGGTTCTGGAGCCATCGAGTGTAGTCAACACGGGGGATGCGACGGACACAAGGGGACTCAGGAACGCAGTGGAATAAACAAGTGTGCCTCTGGGCGCTAGAGGATTAAGCAATACCCGTCGATTTATCTCGTGGTGATCAGATCATTGGGATGACACACTCGGACGGTCCCTCTAGACCTTGAACTAGCGGTCAGGTTTACTAAGTGCAATTTGTGGCATAATAGTGAATCAGCCAATACTGTACAGTGGTAGTGCTAAAGTATGAAACACCTCAAAGTACCGCACAAGTTACAGTCAGTAGATAGGTAGGTAGATGTGACCTGGCCTTAGCTCTATTAAGGAGAAATAGGCTTAGTAGTATTCTAGAAGGTACCTAGCCCTTGATGTGCTATCATTATTCCCCACCAGTCTGACTATGTTAACCTGAATTAATCAAGGCCTGTTTTAGACTTTCGTTTTCGGCAAATTATTATTCAACTAACAGCTTCGTGGGGTATTAGCGTCATTTGTCAGACCTTAAAATTGTAACTTCGGTTTCAGAGCCTCGGCACTTCACCACCCTTCGCGACAGATCCTTCTCCCCAAAGTCCCACTGGAAAACCTTCGTTGGAAGCCAGAACACCACACCATCCTAGTATGTCGTAAAATAATAGTTTGATTGTGAGTTCAGTTGTACAGTTCAATGTTACCAGTAAACATCGTACCTCTGTCCCCGCATTTAGCGTTCAATGGAGCTAAAGGTACCATTGAAAGATATGATATCCAATGCCGATTAATCTCCGTTACTCCGCGTTGATTTAACCGCCGGAGTAAATTTCCAATCAATTAGCCATTTCTTCTACTACACGACTAGAGTCTCGACTCTAGGTCTACTAGTTAAACACAGCAGAAATGTAAGTTTACCGCTAGAAAGGAAGCTAGCCTGCCAATTATAAAAGGACGGCAATTTCCCTACACCTGTTAAGCTTGAGATTGATCCTGTCTCACACCTCAAAATGGCTATCCTTCAGGCCCTCAAAGTAGCAGGCGCTCTGTCCCTTGCTCTGCCCTCTACCGCCTTGGCTCAACCAAAGCTCTGGAAGAAGGGGCCTGCCTCCAGTTACGTGACCTCGTCCGATGGAGCTTACAATCTCACCTCCTACGCTGCCCCAGTCATGGGATCGGGTGCCAGCCCGACCTGGTCCCTGGCGGTCGACGATACCAGCAGCGGCCACAAGCAGCAGATGGTAGGATTTGGTGCTGCGGTGACAGACGCAACAATCACCGTTTTTTCAGCTTTGTCAGGGGCCCAAAGGTCGGCCCTCTTTACTGAATTGCTCACAATTGACGGCCCGGAAGCCGTGGGAATGAACTTGATGCGCCATACGATTGGAGCTTCCGACCTGTCTTCTTACGAGTACTCCTACGATCAAACGCCCAACAATATTCCTCCCGACCCGATGGTGGCCAACTTCAGCCTGGAGGACCCTGGACATCACATGGTGAACATGATTGCTGAGTTCAAAAAATACAACCCTGACCTCAAGTTGCTGGGATCGGTCTGGAGTCCTCCCGGCTGGATGAAGAACAACCATGTTCAGGATGGCAATGGAACCGACAATACTTTCAACATGAAGTGGGCAGGTTCTTACGCCGAATATTTCGTCAAATACATCCAAGCCTTTAGGCAGAAGGGTGTTCAGGTGGATGCCATTACCATCCAGAATGAACCGTTGAATAGCAACCCGGGCTATCCCACCATGTATCTGCCCGCAAACGAATCGACAGCGATCATTCAGAATCATGTAGGACCTTCGTTGAAGAGTGCCGGTCTGAATACCGAGATCTGGGCTTACGACCACAACACAGGTGTGATGATTCGTGGCCCTGTTAATTACATATTGAGCTGAAACTGACTCAACTCTCATAGATGTGCCCGAATACCCGCAGACCGTTCTGGACGGTGCCGGGGACTACGTTAATAACGTCGCATGGCATTGCTACGCAAGCAACAACACATGGGATGTCCTGACTCAGTTCCACGAAAGAAACCCCAAGGTGACGCAGTACATGACTGAGTGCTGGACATCTCCCTATACGTCGTGGTACCAAGTTCCCTACTTTGTCATGGGGTATGTATCTCAACTCCTACCACAAACATTCTTTTTTTTTTTTTTTTTTCTGACCTTTTCTCATTACAGGCCGATTCAGAACTGGGCAGCTGGTTCTATCGCATGGACGCTCGGAACAACATTCGACTACAATCCCCACATTCCGGGAGGATGCAATTCCTGCCGCGGATTCATCGAAGTCGACACCGCCACGGGCACCTACAAGAAGACCACGGATTACTACATGATGGGCCAGTTCTCCAAGTTCGTGCCGCGGGGATCCATTGCACTCTCTACGTCGGCCAGCTTCGATGTCGAAATCGAGCAGAAGATTGCGACGGCCGCGTTCTTGAACCCCGATCACTCGAGGACAGTAGTCATCTATAACGGGTTTCCGCAGGATGGAAACGTTACCGTTAACTTTTCCAGTGGAGAGATCTGGACTGGCCAAATCTACCGGAAGTCTGTGACCACCTGGGTTTTGCCGCCTGTGCATGGTTAAGGGGTCTGGGGTCTGATAACATGTCCCATGAGGAAGATCACTTGGAATGCCAGTGGTGGTTTGATAATGGGAGCGATGTAGGTGTATGTTCGAAGTAAAATTGAGTCCTAGCTAGATCACGGCAACTGATCAACCCAACCTGATCCATCTGTATGTATCTATAGTTCTAGATATATGAGCAAGAGCCAAGTACATTGAAATCTATCACATGGAACCCGTTCAGCCAACTTTTCATGCGAAGCTAGAGATCTCAGTATGCCTCGAGGCGATAAATGCAGCAATCGAAGCCCTCTATTACCGGCCTCTGCTTAGATAGTGACATGTTTGGTCAAGAAAGGCATGATATAGTCCCGTTTTCCTAGTGGCACCCCCTCCTTTCGCATGATGGCATAGGCCATGTTAACATGGAAGAGGACGTTTGGGATGCAAACCCCGTGCGCCAAGGCGGCGCCGGTCATTTCTGTTTCCAATGAAGGCAAGACAGTCATCTCAGATTGGTCGCCCCGCTTATTGACTTCATCCTTGTCGGCCTCGTTGAGGGCTTTCAACACCTGGTCGATGCGTTGATACATTTCGGCGAACGAAGAGAAGTTGTCCTCATAGTTGATTTTCTCGCGACCGGTCAGCCGTGCTACCATGATCTCTGAAAATCTAGTGACGGTGTAGACTTGGAAGGTCAAGGGCTTCATGTCGTCGGCCAGTCGGGCGGCGAGCAAGGCGTTGGCATTGGGGTGCTTCTCGCCTATGCGGAGAATATCGGCCAGGGCCTCCAAGGCGCCTTTGGCCGTGAGAATGGTTCCATCGTAAATTGAAAAGGCCATGCTGGTGTAGTCTGTATGGGAAAGAACAGAGTTGCTTTTGTGTTTGTTTGCCTTAGTTGGCCCCTTTAACCTAGTTCATGGTTACCATCGGCTATTACAAATATCAATGCCCCGCATCGATGTCCTCTCCCTTGCCACCCCGAGTCTAGTTAGAACTAGCAAACAGTGCCCTAACTAAAGTCATGTCAGCCAATCCTAAATTGATCGAGTATCACTATGACTTGGGCGCCTTTGAACGGCAGATCACCACGAAGAGTCCTGAGGCCCAGATCTGGTTCAACCGCGGTCTGACATGGACCTATTCCTTCAACCACCAGGAGGCGGTGGCCTGCTTTGAGAAAGCTCTTGCGCTTGATGGCACCTGTGCTATGGCCCATTGGGGTCTGGCATATGCCCTCGGCCCTAACTACAATCAGTCGTGGGAGTTCTTCGGCGAACAACTCGAAGACGTGGCCAGCCGTACCTATAAAGCCTCGCGCAAGGCACAGGCTCTCGCCAGTAGCGTGACGCCCGTGGAGCAGGTTCTCATCACAGCATTGCAGGCTCGCTACCAAAGTGAACAACCTGCTAGTATGGAGCAGTATGCGTCGCAGAATCGCGCCTACGCTGAAGCAATGGAAGCCGTGTATCAGGTCTTCGGCGATGATCTCGACGTGGCAACCTTGTACGCAGATGCCCTGGTCAACTTGAACCCCTGGAAGCTCTGGAATCTGGAAACCGGGGAGGCCAACCCCGGAACGCGGACCCTCGATGCCAAAGCTGTGCTGGAGAAGGCATTCACGCACAAGGATGCCTATCAGCACCCCGGTCTGCTGCACGTATACATTCATTTGATCGAAATGTCGCCGACACCGGAACTGGGCCTGCAAGCAGCCGACCAGCTGCGCGAGCTGGTCCCAGATAGTGGCCATGTACATCACATGCCCTCGCATCTGGATTTGCTGGTAGGTGACTACCGAGGCGCCGTCCGGGCCAATCAGCATGCCACCCGCGCAGACGAGAAGTTCCTGGAACTTAATGGCCCATCAAACTTTTATACGGTCTATCGTATGCACAACTACCACACGCTCATATATGCTGCGATGTTTGCGGGTCAGAAACAGGTTGCCCTAAACGCGGCAGACCGGCTGGAGGCGACCCTCCCAAAAGAGCTACTCACCCCGATGGCAGACTGGCTCGAGATATTCATGAGCGTGCGGTCGCATGCCATGGTACGGTTCGGCATGTGGGACGAAATTATCGAAATGCCGCTGCCTGATGACCCAGAACTGTACTGTGTCACGACTGCAACCGCCCACTATGCCAAGGGTGTCGCTTATGCCGCAACGGGGAATATCGAGGCTGCAGAGAAGGAGCGTGAGAATTATAAAGAAGCACTCACGCGTGTTCCCGAGACACGCCTGGATTTCCCTAACAAGTGTGTCGACCTCCTAGCCGTGGGGACGGCCATGCTGGACGGCGAGGTGGAGTACCGAAAGGGGAACCACGAGCATGCGTTCGAGCACTTGCGCCGCTCGATCGAACTGGACGATGGACTCGGATACAGTGAACCTTGGAGCTGGATGCAGCCTGCCCGCCATCCGTATGCGGCACTCCTACTGGAACAGGGCCGTGTCGAAGAGGCAGCAGATGTATACCGAGCGGATCTGGGTCTGGACGGCTCCTTGATTCGGGCACGTCAGCATCCGAACAATGTTTGGGCCCTGCAAGGGTACCATGAGTGTCTAGTGCGTCTGGAACGCACAGCTGAGGCTCGGGTAATTGAGCCGCAATTGAAGGTGGCTCTTGCCATCGCCGATGTCCCAGTGCAGTCATCGTGTTTCTGCCGGAAAGACACCTCGCAGGCTCCCGAGGCTGTGAAGGAGCTATTCAGCCAAAGCTCTTTGTGCTGTCAGTCCTGGAAGGAGTAAATTGTGCGGATTTCGGCAAAATATACAGTTTGAGGCAGGCACTATCTGTTATATTCCAGGGTATCTAGGCACAATTTTATGCTATTTGGAAGACATGTCGCGTATATTCCAGATCTTTGAGGTTCAATACCATTTTTAACGAAATATCCCTGAACTCGCTTTTCTCCTCGGTCTCCACTGTCATCTTCTGTCGGAACCGGGTTGAATGCCAGCATGAAAAGTTGCCAGCCGTAGTCGGCTAATCCCAATGGGGAAACCGCGACCCCTCGCTAATGTCGAGACAAATAGTTCTTCTTAAGGGCCTGTTCGGCGGTTTCAAGTTAAGGCCCAGATTTTATTTCTTTTGTTAAAGCACCATGGGTTCAATGGCCAAATCCCCTTATCCTCCAGGCATCCACGTCCCCAGCCTGACATGGTTCAAGTCGGATGCCACTCAATCCATCGATTGGGACCTGCAAGAACGACACATTGAATTTCTTGTCCGCAGCGGTGTACACGGAATTGTCATTGCAGGCAGCAATGGCGAAGCAGCCACTCTGACCCCGGAAGAAAAATCGAGGTTGGTGCGCCTTACTCGGTCCACGGCACGGAAGCTCGGTCGACCCGACCTACCCATTACATGTGGTACATTTGGAGGATGTACGCAGGCCATTATCCAAGACACAAAGCTGGCAGCTGAGTCCGGCGCGGAATTTGCTCTGGTGCTAGTGCCATCGTTCTTCCATTTCGCGTTGCATAGCGCCGCGATTATCGACTTCTTTCAGGAGGTTGCCACAGCATCGCCAATTCCCCTCATCATTTATAACTTCCCCGGTGTCGCGGCTGGGCTCAATGTCAACTCAGAAATGTTGGAGACGCTCGGCGAGCATCCCAATATCGCGGCTGTGAAGCTGACATGTGGGTCCATTGCGTCCGTTGCAAGAACAACGGCCAAGTTTGGACGAGCTCTAGATGGAAGTCCGGAGTTTGTGGCCCTGGCTGGTCAAAGTGAGTGGTTAGTGCCGTGTCTGAGCGTCGGTGGTGCTGGTTGCATTACAGGTGTTGGAAATTTATACCCCAAGGTTTGTAGACGCCTTCCTGATCAGTATTCCCAATTGCTGACTTCTGCGTACACAGACCTGCGTTGAACTGTACAATCTGTACACTTCCGGTCAGACCGCCAAGGCAGAGCAACTGCAGCTTCAGGTAGCTGTGTCCGAGTGGGGATTTGGGAAGGAAGGCATCAGTGGGACCAAATGGGCTGTTGCGAAGTGCCTTGACTACCCAGAAGAGAGCGCTTGGTGCCGAAGGCCCTATCCAAAGTTTTTGAACGAGGAAAAACGGGCCTGGGTTCTCAAGCACTTGAAGGTGCTTGAGAGAGTAGAAGGCGACCTTTGAAGATGAGATGAAATTAAGTTCTATGTTTATAGAATATAAATGGACATTTCACACAATGGCAAACGCCCGATTGAATGTCTCGTGCATCACTTCTCTGATGTCCATACGTTGCTGGTTCTCATCTTGGCGACGAATAACTTCTTGAAGAACATCAGCCGTAATACCAGCATTTGAAGCAACATTCCCCATCTCTTTAATACATGATATCACCCACACGCGCTCGTCAAGATCTTCGGTCTCAACGCCCAGCATCATCAACGGCCATAACATGTTCACGGGCAACGACGACGCAGATCCTGTGGAATTGCTTGGTGTACTTATGGTTGGAATCTCATGGGGAGATGGTGTGCAGGGGCTTTCAAGAATAAGCCGTGTTACTTTGCGAATTTCACTCATAGCGTTGAGAACATCTGTTGTGCGTGGTAAAGCTAGCGCGTAGAGGTTAGCCTCGTCATCAGGTATTATAGTGGGGTCAGACTCACTTTTGTAGGCAACCCGATGCAGATGAATAAAGCTAGTAAAGAAATTTGCATGTGCTAGCCTCATCATCCGCGTAGTGGTCTCTGCCAGTCGTGGAGAAAGAAGCGGTCCCAGCCGGCCGGCGACAGCATGATCCATCATGGGCGGGCGTTGTTGCCACAGGGCTTTGATATCGCGGCTGATCCTGGCCGCAATTAACATTACTTCTGTTTCGTCTTCAACTGTGCCCCGGCGCCGATGCCAGCGGTCGATCTTCGAGATCCGGCCCATAAAAAGCTGGACCTTTTGGAAGAAAAAGAAAGCTGGTCGCATGATGAAATCCTCCAGGGCGGCTTCTGCGTCATCATCAAGTGAGGAATCAATTTCCTCCATTGAGCTGTCGGGGGACCGGAGATCCGTGCTTATTGCGCTGTCATCTTCGTTAAGGAAAAGTCCCTCTCCTCCGACACCCGCGGCCCGGGCGTCTAGTAGTCGGAGCCACGATACAAGACGTTTTTCTATAAAGAACGGGTTAGCAAAAGAAGTTTCATACAATTTGGGGGTATTACCTGTCACTCCCAGGGATTCAATATCCACCATCTGCAAAGCATTGAAGCCATGTCGTAGATTAGCGTGGACATTAGAGACGTCTTTTGTCAGCAAGTCGATATATGATAGCAGAAATAACACGGCTAGGATAGGTCGTAATTGTGAGACAAGAATGCTTTTGTCTTTACTGATTTCATCCAGATTCTCGGTCAGTCTCTCTTTTGCCGTGCGGTAATATCGCGAGTAGGTGGCCGGCTCAAGTGCACATGCAGACTCCAACTCCAGCGCCACAAATGCAATGACTCCAAACTTGACCATCTCTGAGGTCGAGGCCATCGATGTCAGCTCCTTCCGCATCCAAAGCCAACGTGCACTCGTTTCCACGGTAGCTAGGATTGGCGGCGCGGCCGAGTGAGCAAAATATTCCGCTAGCTGAGATTCGCTCCATCCGATTGAGAAGCGTGTCGATGGTGTTGGGGATCCAAGGTTGTTCTTTGAACGGCGTTCAACGAGCGCTCCGGAGCTTGTCACAGAGCTCGATAGGGGTAGTCCCAATGGAGCTGGGATTGGAAGCGACATCTCGGGCCAAGACACCAGATCTTCCGAGGTATTCATGTCCACGGTATCCCAATTCGGGGACAAGTTTGGTGAGAGGTCGTCCCACATGAAACTTGCATAGTTGAAGATCTTGTTGAAAGCCGAATCATCGGCACTCTCCTGCAGTGGGGCAGGTGTTGTACCAGGCGCGGGCGATGAGCTAGTGGTGGTGACTTTTTCTTTGTTCGTTCCGGACTCCGCCTGATCGCGTATCAGGCGATGTGCTCGCACTTTCTTTTTGTTATTGAATCTTGGTGTCGTATCTTGCTGCCATGAACAGTCTAGCCGCAGCCTTTTGCAGTGGCTACATTTCGGATGCTGTTCATCGCATCGGACTTTCCGACGCCTTTTTGTTGAGCTTAGCGTTGTACCAGCAAATTGTAAGGGTCGTAACTCACCTGCATGTCAGGCAGCCATTGCGCGTACGAGGACGATGGCGCCTGTCGAGGTCGGTGTGCTGCTGCCATTGATAAAACATTGTCGACACTGCCTTCCACTTGTCGAGAGACAAGGATTCACCGAGTTTGACAATAATCTGGGGGTGATTCCCCCTCACTCGGGAATGCTCCGAAATTCGACCGGGAACCCCACACACTCCAAGGCCCACTTTTCCGACTATTCGCGGTATCGCCTAAACTCCTATTCGGGACAAGAGCGAGAGCGGATCAGCTGCTGGGATTAATAGCTCCGGTTAGGGCTGTGGAAGTGCGGCGTGAGCTATGTTAATCTGCCTTAGGTACCGACATCTTTTTAACATTAGTTCAAGTAATTAAAAATCGGAATGTGTTGATAGATAGTTCTTCTAAATTATTTGTACTGTATTATAGCCCTTCGCCATTCTGTCATAAAGTTTATCAATCGTATAATCGACTCTTGTGGTAGTTATGCCTTATCCAAAGGTTATTTTATGTGTTCCTATATAAATCATATTAGTATCTTGATTAAATTTTGGTAAGCAGCAAAGAACATACTTGAACACAGTCCAGGACAGGAATCCTTGGCCCTGGGTGTAGCAACCGTTGCCACCGGACTGGTGAAAATAATCGCATCCTCCACCACTGGATCCGATAAACACCATGTCGTCAGGCAGATCGCTAACTTTGATTGAGTTGACATTTTCTCCAGAAACCATCACGCAGCCAATATCTCCGGTTTCAACTAGACTTTCGCCATTCTCTGAGCACTCGGAGTCGGTGTATTCTGTGACATTCCAGGCAGCAGCCACAGAGACGGATGCCGCAAGGATGATAGCAGTGCTGAACTTCATGATGGACGTTGATGTGAGAGGTTGGTACAGGCTGGTTGATTCTGAATGTGGTTGATTGATTGTGAGGATGACGGATTTTTGGGGTGCAATTACTGCCCTTTATATACCTCCAGCCTTGATTATGACGCTCAGAAATCAGTCACCTTTTGCCACCTCCTTGCCTCTTGGCGGACGAATGAATGTCCAGATAATTAGGGCCTAAGGCGCCCTAACAGTTTGCCAATGTCTCGGACGACTTAATGTATCTCATTAATGCATTGGACCATCTAAGTAAAGCCTTTGAAGACATTGTATTTTTAGATCCAATGTTGGGGGCCTGAACGTCGATCTCCATTGGGTCAATTCTTGTTGACGTCGATAGTTGGCGCGTGACCTACATTCTTGAAAACTAGTATACATTTAAAAATATCAAGAATATGGAGTTTTTGCAAGCCATTTGAATTCCTATTCATTGATGCGCATAACTAAATTTAGTCCATGACCATGTGACCTGTCCTATGCGATGGAAGGGTTGCATCGTCTTGTATCTATTCCCCTGCCTGTCGGCAGATATTTTGTTCTATTTCAAGAAGATTAGAACACCAGATTGATCCTTGAGGAACAGATCCAAACATTCTTGTTTATAATTCCTGTCTGAACAATTATTGATTGTACTTTGGAAACATAGTCCCCAAAAGGGTTAGCACAATCATGTGCCTCGGTGAATTCGATTCCCCGCTCCGATCGATATCGATAGGAGAGCTCTACTCTACGTAGTAGTTTCTCCTGTGCACCTTGCATGACTGCATTACCCAGGATGAAAACATCAATTTTCTTAATGAAATGATGACTTCGACTTCTATAGTCTAAGCGTGAGGCATTATGGCCTTTAGTGTGCCGAAGAGCCTCTCAGGACCCATCTCAGTCACCCAATTTCTCGAGCAGTTCCGAAGCTCGTGGGCTGCCTCGCGATGGGTGGAACTTCGCCGTATACGAGAAGCTCAGAGTATAAATGAAAATGGCTTGAATTCAACAGCCAGGAACTATGCCACTGCCCGTCTTCCGCGCTCCCTTGGTTTGTCAAATTGTCCGTCTTGATTTTATCATTGCTCTCTGACTATGAATCCAGGACTCGCGGTAAGCGGCGGCGCTGATTCCATGGCTCTGGCCTATCTGTGCCGGCAGCTGGAGATCCACTCGGGCAGTATCGCAGACGATACTATATCAGTGACTGCGTTCGTAGTCGACCACCGCGCCCGCGCGGAAAGTAGCCGCGAGGCAAAGACAGTAGCTGGCTGGCTCTCTGACCTGGGTATCACCTCCGAGTTTACATGTCACATATATCTGGGTCTACTGAATTTTTTTGGCTGACTAGCATTTTCAGGTATAAAAACCCAGATCCTCGAGCTAGACTGGTCGCAGTTTATCCTTGGTGAAGAACGAGCATTGTCATCAAAAAAAGCTTCGGGTCCATTAATTCCATCCGCCTTTGAAACCTACGCTCGTACGCTCCGCTTTCAGGCCCTTGGTACTGCCTGTCGAGACAGCGACATCAAGACCCTGCTCATGGGCCATCACCAGGACGACAATGTCGAAACGGCCATTTGTCGCTTGGCCTCCGGAGCACGAGGGATAGGCCTCACTGGAATTTCGCCAATAGCCCATATTCCAGAGTGCTATGGCATATTTGGAGTTTCGGAGAGCGGGTCTTTAATGAAGGCTCCCACACGCCAGGACAGCACTTCTCGTGTGCACGTTCGGGTGAACGATCGCAACCGAGGGACCTTCAGCTCTGGGCCTTCAGCCAAAACAAAACCACTTCATAGACTTGCCAGGAATATGATGCCCAACCCATCCATCTCATCTGGTGGCATTCTCATCTGCCGTCCGCTCCTCTCATTCCCCAAAGCCAATTTGATAGCGACTTGCCGTGAAAACAATGTCCCCTACGTCTCCGACCCTACAAATTTTGATCCAACTCTCACTGCACGCAACACCGTTCGCAGTCTGCTCGCCTCCGACTCGTTTCCCCGTGCTCTGCAGCCTTCTTCAATCCTATCCATGATCCGATCGAAACAGACCCTCTTACGGAGCTCAACCGAGCTCTCAAACAAACTCCTTGCAAGTGAATGCCGGATTTTGGACTTTAATTTCCAAACAGGGGCAGCAGTAGTCTCGTTCGGCAAAGCCCCCCTGGGCTCAGAATCTCCCAATGACAGCATCTCCGCTCTAACCAACCTATCTGCATTCAAACTCCGGCAAATCCAGGCTCTCACCCTACGCCGCATTACGGGGCTGATTGCTCCTGTTCCAGAGAATCACTACCCATTGCCCAGCTTCGAGCCATTTGTCTCACAAGTCTTTCCTCCTACAGATGATTCAAATGAAACTTCCCGTTCAACCAGTGTCAAGAACCAAGAGCGTCGTCCCTTCACACTGGGAGGCGTCATATTTCAGCCTCTTGAGAAGGAAGTATCCAGTATGACTGAAGCTCCATCCGCGTCTTCAGGCACACCGCCGGCCTTTGGTTCTATGGCAGACAGTGTTTGGTATCTATCCCGCCAGCCGATCAGACGCAGTCCATCGGATGTTCCAATTACTCGACTGGATATCCCCGCCCTCGGGTCAAATCGTCACACGTCAAAAAACCACTCTGTCACGCCTTGGATATTGTGGGATGACAGATTCTGGTTCCGGTTCTCCATGACTCCTACCGAAGACCATCCCACCCATAAGCAAAACCCCGACGAAAAAATCGCCTTTGTACTTCGACCACTGCAGCCAGGTGATCTTCAGAAGGCTCAAAACGACGAACCGGAGATTTTCGCACCCGCAAATCCGAAGAACTTCAAGCCTGCGATGCGCCTGGCTGGTCTGCGAAAAGCTCTTGCGCAGGAAACTACCGGGTCTGCGCGCTTCACTATTCCTCTGTTAACTGTGACAAGAAGCCATGCGTCGGAATCCGGGTTGCCAGAAGACGAAGTGGAGGAGCAGCTCCTCGCCCTACCGACCATAGGCTACCGTCTAATTGGGGGTGGGACAAAGCTCGCGAGCAAGATCAATGTCTACTACGCTGGAAGAGAATGGAGGATCACATGGCAATGGATGTACAAAATGATTGACACCGAGACATTGAGCCTTATGGGTTTGCCGATGGAAGAAAATGCAGCGGCAACCGCTATGGTACAGGAAAACAAAACCTAGTTAAAAAAAAAAAAAAAAAAAAAAAAAGAAACAGAGCCTCGCAGAATTGATCTCCTTGGCTATGCAATACATGCTTTCAAACCCCTAATGTGCGTATGGATGGACCCGATGTAGAAAGTGACAAGAAGGCGGAATGAATGCACAAATTAGAAAAACCTCCGGGCTTTGCAATGAGGGAAGTGGTCGCAGGAGAGAGATATGTGTGGTATCACGATACAAAGAAAAAGAAAGGAGGTGGGTATGTAGCGGTAAAGATAGAAGTTTCGTCCGCACCAAGAGGCCAAATTGTGAGAACACGGCCATTCCCAGTGTGGCAACATTCACTGTTCACTGGCTCTCAGCAGAGAAACTGCAGCCTGCTGCGCTCGAAGACCTCCGATTTCCCTTTTCAATCGAAAGTTTTCCTTCTTGAGGCGGCCAATTTCATCTAGCGCAGTTGTCAACTGAGCTCTCAAAGCATCTTCTGCGTTGCCCGAGCGTACGTCCCGAGCAATTTTACTGAGCTCGGAGTTGAATCGATCATAGAGCGCTTCATTCTCGGCACTCGCTTCTCGATAAAGCTCGTCCAGCTTCTTCACGCGTTTCTCGCTGACAAGAAGGGATGACTCAAGATCTTTTTCGATTGCCGCCGTGCGACCATTATATTCGCCGCTCATCATGTCAAATCTGGCTTCGAGATTTCGCATCCGTGATTCAAGGGATGTATTATCACTGGAAGGGGCGTGGACGGACTGCATCAAGCCGGATTGTTTTGTTGGTGTGAGCTTCAATGTTCGAAGTTCGTCGTTAAGTGCTGTAAGCTCGTCCCTCAGACTGAGCTGACTTGTTGCCTGAGCTTTCTTCTCGTTTTGTACGCGATCGCGAAGCTTTTGGGGGCTCTGCATGCGTAGTTTCTGCGACTTTTGCGGCGATGAGGAGGAGGACTGCGGCCGCTTGGTATCAGAGCCATTGGTGCTGGGACGTTCCCGAAGACCTGGCGTCCTCTGTGGAATGCTGGTTGCCCGGGAACGCCTCTTAGATTCTTGGAGCGGCGAGTCTTGAGCATCGGGGTTTGCCTTTGCAATGCGCTCAGTCAGCGGCGTCTTAGGATCAATGTTCTCCTTCCGACTGGGAGTACTTGGGCGAGGAGGGGGCGACATTCTCCTTATTGGAGAGCCAAAGCGCGCGGGAGAGCTACTTTTCATTGGGGACGAGCTTCTTGCAGGTGAAGCTCGCAAGTAGCTGCTCTGTGGTCTGGACTGTGTTTTGGGTGTGGTTGGCTCTATCTGGGGCCGATTGGATGGTGTCACTGGACGCAGCGGATGAATCGGCGAGATGTTGGATGCATCCGACCCAGCAGTAGGAGGTCGAAAGTCGGACAATGAGCTTCTCCGCTTCCTGCGAATCTTCACCACGCCATCATGCGATATGCCTTGGATGGATGAAAGGGAAGGCGGCTGCTCAAACCCAGTTCCGGGTCTTGATATCTGCTCCTCAGACGCGAAGCCATATGGGTGATCGCGTGAGGAAGGCCGCAGAAGTCCCAAACGCACATCCACATCAGTGGACTTGGAGCGAATCAAAGAGCCTTTAGGAGTGCCAGGCTCTGAACCAGCTGGACTTTGCTTCTTGCTCAAGGTTCGCAGGATCGAGGCCACCTTGCTCTCTCCTTCATTTTTCGGCTTGTCGTGATGCAGGCTGAATCCGAAGCGTTTTCGGAAGGATGAGGCATTGGAGCCCACAGAGCCGGTATTATGCGATGGCTTCGTCTGGTCACAAGTCAATGTGCCTTCCACGGAGGCTCCGCCAGGAACAAATTCTTCGAAGAGGCTATCGAA